CAGCTGCTGTTTATTCCACATATATAGCAAATTCTGAAGTGGTATTCACCTAATACAAATAACAATGATATCTGGGTAGTAAAACCTGTGATGATTTTTTTTTTCTGTGAATTGCTTGAAATCTTTAACCAGTTTTATTAAAATTTTAATTTTTCAAAAAAAAAAAAAGAACGAAACCTTACAATTTGCAACAGGGATCGACCTAGATAGTATTATGCTAAGTGAAATAAGTCAGACAGAGAAAGACACATGCCATATGATCTCACTTAATGTGAAATCTAAAGAACAGAGTGCATGAACAAACAAAACAGTAACAGACTCATAGATACAGAGAACAAACTGATGGGGGTTAGGGGACTGGGTGAAAAAAGGGGAGGGGATTAGGAAATACAGATTGGTAGTTACAAAATAGTCACAGGGATGTAAAGTACAGCATAGGTAATACAGTCAATAATAATATAATAACTATATGTAGTGCTAGGTGGGTGCTGGCCTCATCCCGGGGATCACTTTGTAAATTAAATGTTTAACCATTCTGCTGTATACCTGAAAGTAATATAAAATAATATTGAACGTCAACTGTAATTGACAAATTAAAAAAATAAATAAAATTAATTTAAAAAATCAATCTCTCCCTGCATTCCCATTTCATTCTTTCCTTCTTTGCCTCTATAATATCACTTATCTAGGAAGGGGAGTATTAGAGGCATTTCTGTTTACAGCCCTCACCTAACCACCAATCCCTACCTGGACCTTGAGCCCCCCCATAGATAGGGCCCACGTGTTGAATCATTGACTTTCAGCTTCCCCCAAATATCTACTCTGGTGCCTGACAGGAAGCAGACGCTCAGTAAACGTGTTTTGAGGAAGAATATGAAAGCCACACACATTCGAAAGGTCAGCTTCCTCGCCTGCCAGGGGTATATGCCCTGTGCAAGGCCCAGCTCCAAATGTCCTAGAAAGTAGGACATTTGCTGGGTCATAAAGGATTCCGGCAGCAGGAGGCTTGCAGGCGGCCCTCCACAATGAAATATATGCCCTGCACCCGCTCGCACGGTTAGATGGTGACTCTGCATCAACTATTTTCAGATTTTGGCTAACTGGATGGGAAAAAACGCGCCGAGCTCAACGACGCGCGCAGCGACAAACCCGCCCCGAGCAAAGCGCGGCTCCGAGGCGACCGCCAGGGGGACGGTCAACCAAGGCGCCCAGACCGGCGGAACCCCGGGGTCTCAGGCCCTCTCCATCAGACAAGCTAGAAAACAGCCGCCCGCCCAAGACGCGCAGGCGCCGGCGCGGCACGTCGTGCGGCGCAGCCAATCTCAAGGCCGTGTTCCCTTCCCGCCAGCCAGAGGCTGGGAGCCGCGGGGGCTCGGCCTGAGCCGCGCTCCCATTGGCTGAGGCGGCACCCAGACAAAGCGCCACTGTCCTAGCGCTGGGGCGCCCCCTTGACTCCCGGCCGTGGCCGACCCGGGCCCACCATCACCACCCCAGCATACCCAGGCTCCCCCCTGCGGCGCCTTCACCTTGCCCGGTCCTCCTTCCCATCCTGTCCTGCTGCCGGTCCGGCTAGTGCTCAAGGCAGCTGGACCGGCGGCTGACCGCTGTCCAGCATCTTTCCGGAGGGCGCAGCAGCAGGAGGGGAGGGAGTACTCCCCAAATCCGCGAGAATAGAGCCTCCTGGAGGACATGGGAGCATGAGGACGGGTGCCGGACAGAACAGAGGAGATACGGTGGAGAAGGGAGCAATGCCCAAGAGCCCGGGGCTGCAAGGCAGGACTATTGGCTTCGGTCCAGGCTTGGGCCCCTGACTACAGTGTGACTTTGGGCCTGTTCCTTCTCCTCTTGGGGCCAGGGTCCCCTTCTGTAAAATGTCGCAGCAGGGAAGGATGAGTCCGGAGGTTTGTACCTGGGAGCCTCAGGGCCGCGTGTTCAACCTGGGCCTCCTCCTGCAGAACACCTTATTCCGAATAATAAACGCCAGGCCGGGCTCCCACAGCGCGGGCACAAGGCCAGGGCGGGCGGCGGGTGAGGTCCATCTACCGCTGAGAATAGGTCTGGGCGGGATCAATTCATCTTCCCACCTTTACTCCGCCGCGGCCGCAGGGCCCGTCCTGCCGGACTCTGTGCCCCGTTTCCCACCCGCACCCGGGCGACCCGGCTAAAGGGCCGCGCAAGACCAAACCAAACTGAGCAGAGGGCGCCGGCGCATCCCACCCCAGCTGTAGAGATGAGCACCCCTCCGCTTACCCCAAAACAAACGGTCAGGGGGCCCCGGCTGCAGAGGGCTCAGCTGGCACGCTCGCCTTAATCCGGCGCTTTACAAGTACCGGCGCTCCTGGATTGGCAGACCGAGTGGGGGCACTGCCGCCGTTTTCTCCACGAAACCCCTCTACCACACGGCCTCTTCGCACTCCCACGGCCTCAGCTACCGGATGCGCCTAGACACCTTGGGTGCCGGTATTCGGGCTGGACAGGACGGGCGGGGCTCGACGGCAGACGTCGCCGGGGCGGGGAGCGCTATCGCGCCACTTCCTTGGCGCTGGAGCAACTGGCCGGGTCCTGCTCCGGCAGAGGGTGCCCCTCAATCTTTAGGCGCCCAGCTGCCTGTCGTCGCTAGGCTCCCCCTGCCGCCTGTCCATCTCCGCCCTAAAGCCGGCGCAGAAAGAAGCGGGGGAAGAAGGTGCAGCTTCAGGAAGTGAGGAAACCCTGATAAGGACGAGGTTCGTTCCAGGTCCTATGCATATTTGCTGTCTTGAGCTCACCAGGGTTGGTCGGTTAGTTTTTAAGTTTGTTTTTTGAGCAGGTGAAATGTATTTAAAAATTTGCGCCTAGGCGTCTTTAAAAATAATTGAATAGCACAGCTTCCCAATAGCACATTTATTGATGTTCCAATAGAATATCAGAGGACAGTCTGATACAGGTCAGGCTGCCCCCGCCGTTTCTAGAATAATAAATAGACTAAGAAGAGAAGGAAACTATTCCCGCAAATTAGTGGCAGAACTATGTTTAGGTCAAATTACAGAAAGGGACTGATTGAAAATGGACCAGGCAAATGAAAATGGGAGAGAGGTACTAGCCTGGTGGGGCTTTAAAGAAACCTGCCAGCTCAGTTCCATGAACTTATTGAGGCTAAGACTGTGTCTTCCTTATCCCCAGCTCCTAGCCCATAGAGCATTGAAGAGTGAAAGAATCATGAAGGGAGGATGCGCTTGGTTTTCTGTACCCATTTCACACAGACTCAAGCCAGAGTACTCGCGTCAGTGCTGTGTTCCAGAGAAGTCACTCTACATGCATATCATCCCACAGCCATAACAATAAATTGCTACAGTGGATCACCATGTTACACTTTGAGGATTATGCATTCCCGGAAAAGCAGTTAATTAAAATAAGATTTCCACCTAGGAAAACCATAGATCCTAACTTTGGACTGAGAATTAAATGGAAACATAGTTCTGTTTATGGAAGACAGGAACAGAAATGCCTGACCTGTCTGAGGTTATATCAGACTCCTCCTGTGGCTGACCCCGCATCTTCCCAGCCCATCTTTTTACACCAGCTATGCGGTGACAACCAGCTGCACGCAGGCACAACCCAAGAGCATCTTGCCTCAGCTGCACCTGGTATCTTGCTGCCTCAGGGCTTCTCTGCCATTGCAGTCTGGGACCCCATACAGAAACCCACTGACATTCTGACATGTGCATAAACCTGGAAGTGTAAAGGAACAAACACCTTATGGGACAACCTTTGACTAAGACAGACAGGAGCTGGTGGAGAAATGCTCTCTTTTCCATTCTAATGGTGGGCAATTCCAAGGTGCATTCTATACAGCTCCTAAGATATCAAAGCCTTGGTTGCCCATAGTTGTGCCCAACTGGATCAACTCAATATTGCACCCTTGAATTGCCTCTTTCCCTCCTTGCTTGCTTGACTCTTCCTAGTCCTTCACTCCCGTTCCTTGGGATTCACTCACAAAATAAACTACTTGTACACACAGAGTCCTTGCTCAGACTGTTTTTCGTTTTGTTTGTTTGTTTGTTTTGGGGGGGAGGGGACAAGATTAAGCCAATAGTTAGCCCAAAAGAGGCATCTTGACCCACCTTCCAGGCCTGGTTCTCACCAGATCTTTCCCAAGACTGCTAACAATTGATTTGTTCAATTAGAGGTTTTGCTCCTTTTGTTTCCCAGTTGCCCTGCCCTCCAGGGGATCACTAATAAACTCTCAGAGACAGGCAGGATGCATCCAATAGGGCCAACTGAGCTAGACTAGTTGAGAGGCCAACAAAGTCATTCTCAGCTCCACCTTAAACCTCTCCCCTCCTTCCAAGGTCCTGGCTGCTGACTTGGAAACTGGAAAAACAGCTCTGGGGCTAAACATGGAAGCAGAAACTGTGCGGGACCCAAGTCACTCCCAACACAGCTTTTACCAAGATTCTGTCTCCTTCCTACTCACCTCCTTACCCCCCTATAAAAGCATTTCCTCTGCAATACTTAGCACATTTCATCTCATTTCAACACCAAGAGGGTGCTGTTGCAAATTACCAAACTAGGTTTGGAGGGAAAGAGCCCTTATTCCCTGCCTTCAAGGAGGGAAATGAGACATGTGCATAAACTAAATGAACCATTAGAAGTCCTATAAGTCTTCTAAAAGAGAGACATGACAGTGTCGTGGGAGTTCTGGTGGGGGTTCAGGACGGGATTTTTAAGCGGTAGCCTCCTGAATGACTCCATTGGGGTGAGACACCCTCAGAAGATCCCCTGCCCTGAAAGCCACAGTATCTGCTCCTGCCCCTGTGTTAGCTCCTAATTGCCTCCCAGCTCACACCCGCCTTGAGTGCCAGCTCAAGCTGGTCATTACCTCCTCCTCCTAGGCCCCAGCCATCCTGTGCTAGATCTGGACCTGCCCCATCTCTGAATGCCCCTGGTCTTCTCCACCCTCAGTGTTAAGTGCTAAATGCCAGATGGTGCAGGTGAAATCCTGTCCAGGAGCCCACCCACGCGTGCAGCGCTCTGTGCTCAGTTCTGCTGGGGGATAGAGAATAAAAACACCATCTACGATCCAAAGCCACAGGTTGTTCTGTTTGTCTTGATGTAATTGAATATTCTTAAAAAAAATGTTTTTTATTGGCTAGAAAACTTACCCTTAGCCAGCAGAATGTTAGAAGTAGTAAGTGGCTTTTTCTATAATTGACAGTGAAGGAAAGAAAAAGCCCAATGTGTTCTAAAACAAAGCTGTAGTGCTCAGAATCTAGTGTGCTGAAAAGAGCCCTTAATCATAACATGACTGTAATACTGAATTCTGCTGATAAATTAGAACTGGAGGCCCAACGTTTTCCCTGCAGTAAATGAGCAAGGAAAACAAGTGCTGGGACCTTAAGGGAAAAAAAAGGGGGTATTGGCACCCACAGCCCCGCCCCTTTCTGTCTCTTGACTCTAACAGATTTAATTAACATAACTGTTTATTTTAAGGCACAGAGTTGGGGATTATACACTGTAAATTTAAGCAAAGTTCTTAAATTTAAGCAAAATTACCTCAAATTGGGATCTTTGAAAAGAGTATGAAGAGATAAAAAACAACTGTGTCCCCACCTCTGTCCATCCCACCCCAAGTTACAGCAACCCATAAAACCTCCTTCCTTCCTTCTATTTACATGGATTGAGCCCTTATTACACCCCAGGCATTGTGCTTTGTTCTTGGAACGCAATGATAACCTAGTGCAGGTCCCTGTCTTCAGAAATACAACTTGGCAGTTGGTGAGTGACTGATCGCTGTGTACCAGACTCATGTCAAGTGCCTTGTGTACATTATTTCACTTAGTCTCTGCAACAGTGCTAAAAGTAGCCCAAGATTATCCTCATTTTGCAGCTGAGGAAGTTGAAGCTTAGAGAGGACAAGTAACTTGCCCACAGCGATACAGGCAGAGACAGATCCCACCCACATCTATCCTACTACAAAGACTTTTTAAAGCACACCACCAACTGTCCTAAGGTTCTTGCTTTGGAACAAAAGGATGAAAGTCCCCATTTATAAGGCTATTTGGTGTACAGAATATTTGTATAACTAGTTAGTTGGGTTATATATTACTTCTGTAATACATATTACTTCTGTAAGTAATCTAACAGAAGCTGGAATTACTTTGTTACATGGAAACTTCTTTGACTGAGGACAACTACAGATGCCCAGATCTGATGCCTTCAATTAGGAAAAGTAATTCTAGGCTCTAATTCATATAAACTTTGAAAGACAAAAATATGAGAAAGATTCTTAACCCTTCAATCTGATTTAATTTTCTGAACTTCAAATTCTATTATTTCAAAGAATATTTAAGATATTACAATAAACTGTTTTTAAAACCAGGATACAAAACCATGTGCTTATTTAGATGCATATTTTGGTTATTTTTGCAATGAAGTGTATTATTTATATTTTCTGCTTAATTCCTACCAGGGACAGACCCTACTATTTCAAAGGGGAAACTGAATTGTAAAGCTGCTGCCTCTCTGTTTTGGGTTGCCAAAGGCCTATTTGCTCCCCACCAACACCCTCCCTTCACACCAGCCACTTCCTAAGCCTTGATGAAGGTTTCCCTTCTGCTTATAGTTCTCACATTCAGCATTCTCTCACCTTAGCTGGTCTGCAGTCTGCGGGTGTGTGTAGCAAGGCTCCCTCGCACTATCAGCACACAGGATCCTCTCCAAGCAAGTTATAAGCCAGATACACCTGGAATTCTCTTAATTTTCAGTTGATAAGATATAAGAGACACCCCTGGAGACTTCTTCCAGGCTTTATGTGTATTATTTCAATGCTTGCCTTTAGCTGGGAAGGGATAGTCTCACACTCACATGATAAACAAAGCAAACTAATAATAGAATACAATATTAGGAGTGCTTGTGTGTTTGTCATTGAGGCAAAGTTCAGCTTTGTAACTGTTTGTTTTAAGCTTAAAATGTCTGTGAGTTTGGTCCCCTGACAAGCTGAGGGTCAAGGGTAGGTGCCGCTGCTTTATGACACATAAGAAAAAATGATGTCAAAGGTTAGCTCCAACCAACTTCATCTTGAGCTCCCCCTGCCAGGTATGTGTGGGCATAAATGAGCACAATAACTGGCCTAAACAGAATGAGAAATATCCAGAGAGTGCCCTAAGTATGATGCAGAATGAGGACCTGAGAAAAATTTCAAATGACCCAGTGGCTTTAGACAGGCTCAGCTGCAAGAAGATGGTGCCAAAACATTCCCCTTGAACATCACAATGGCTGTAAGGAGGAGTATATCTGGAATGCAGGAGCTCCCTTAGGTTGTCTCGTAGTATTACCATGCTCTGGTGATCAAAGTCAATGAAAAATTACAACCACCAAATTTAGGTAGAACTACTACTGACATAGACCCTTCATGAATGAAGGTTTGGGTCACCCCACCAGGTAAAGAACCATGACCAGCTGAGGGCAAAGGGAATATGGAATGGGCAGTGGGAAAAGGTAATTATAAATACCAGTGACAACCACGTAACCAGTTATAGAAACAAGGATTGTAATTATCATGAGTATGTCTTCCTTATTTTGGGGTGTGTGTGTGTGTGTGTGTGTGTGTGCGCGCGCGCGCGTGATATCTTTGTTTTCTTTCCTCTTGTATCCCCTTATCATGTAACATAAGATGTTTTGACTTTATATCATATAGGGTATATTGTAGTATTGTTAACTTTATATCCTATTATTTAAGTTATGGGATATCAAGAAGAGTAAACATCACAGGGACTTTGCTTCCTCTTCTGGGGAAACGGTTAGTGCATTTTCAGTTGCACACAAGATAGTGGATCATGTTAGGTGGAATTATGACCTTATTATTGTCTTTATTTGGAGATTAAGTGTGGTTAAGGTGAAGTGTATGGGTGCCAAGTTGATAAGGAGTGGACTGCAATGTTAATTTTATGTCAACTTGGTTAGGCCACAGTGCACAGATATTTAGTCAAACATTATTCTGAATGTTTCTGTGAAGGTGTTTTTGAATGAGATTAACATTTAAATTGGTGGACTTGGAGTAAAGCAGAATACCTCCATGATGTGGGTGGGTCTCATCCAACCAACTGAAGCCCTTAATAGAAAAAGACTGACCTCCCCAGAAGGAGAGGGAATTCTGCCAGCAGACCAACTTTGGACTCGAACTGCAACTCTTCCCTGAGTCTCTACCCTGATGACATAGACTGCAGATTTTGGATTTGCAAAGCCTCTACAATCCCGTAATCCATTCTTTAAAATAGATCTCTCTTTCACTCTTCCTTTCCCTCTCACTTTCTCCATCCATACACATCCTGTTGGTTCTCTGTTCCTAGGAGAGCCCTGACAAATACACTCACCCAGAGTGGTCTGCTACCCTATTGGACTCTGAAACAAAATTGAAATAGATTCCTCTGCTTTGGAATTGGTCTTTCTGGAATTGGCAGGACCCAACAGGAGCAGGAAGGGTCCTTATTCAGGGGCCTGGAGCACAGGTCAGAGGCAGGAGGGTTGATCCCAGGCCAAGCTGGGATGAGGCACGGCTCGCTTTTCACCCTTTCCATCCCCTGATGTCTCTGTGGCCACTGCCCTCCAGGTGCTCACAGCCCAGGAAGAAGGACAGACACAACTGCAGTTTATTCCACTCCAGGGCAGCTGGGTCCAGATAATGTAACAGGCAAAACCATAGGGCTCTGGGAGGATGGAAGAGGAAGCTTTTCCTGCAGGTTGGGGCCAAGGAGCAGGCTTCCTGGAGGAGGTGACTGCCTTCGATCTCAGATTCAATAACAGATATTTTTCCTCCAAACTTTTATTTTAAAGAAGTTTAAACTTACAGAAAAGATGAAGAGTATAATGAACCCCCATAAAGCCATAATCTAGATTCATGAATTGTTAACCATTTGTCATGTTTGTTTTTTCTATATATATGTATATACACATATACATACACATACACATACGCATACAGACTT